GTGTCAACAAATATTATTGTATACTTTTGCAAACATAAGTGCTGAGACATGGGGAGGGATAAAGACCTGCTTAGCTGAGTGATATAAACACAGCAAGAAGCTATGCAGACCTAAAGCTTTAGCAGGAAACTCTAGAATCCTAAAGTTGTTGAAAAATAGTGATATGATACCATACCTAATGTCTAAAACTATCCCAAAAATATTTTGTGGATTTTTATTTTATTTTGTTTGGTAATACATAGATGTGAAAGGTCGAAGTGTTTTGTAGACTGTGTTGACTGTAGTACTTTCCAACTTTTTAAATAATTCTTTCTCACTAAATAGCTGTGTGTCTTGATAGATTGTTCTTTGAGATTGTTTCTGTGAGAGATCATGCTTTTGTATGTGCAAGTAATAGTACTGATTAGGTCTGGGCGCAGCTAAGATTGACAAGAAAGTTGTGTGAAGCTGTTCTTGTACTGCTTTAGTCCTGCTTAGATGTATTGCGAGGATGTTGTGGTACTCTGTAACTTGATGTAAATTAAGTCTTTGGTTTTTATCTGGTTTTGGACTGTACCCAAACTTGGCAATGGTGAGTAATACCAGACAGACTTTTAATCTTTATATACTTAAAATGCTATTTGGAAGTCTCACCATCATTGTGTGTTTTTTTCTATGTTGTGATGATTCTTGGGGACCACAATCAAAGCACATACAGAAATGTGTGCAAAATAAGTGGTGGCTTTGCCTATACAAATAATTTGGGGTCTGATTAAATAAGGTGGAAAACTGCTGCATAGCAATGACTATAGTAAAACATGCAGGTATAGTATGCAGTCCTGGAGAGCTATAAGCTACAAACTGGTATACATAAGAATACTGTAATCTACTGCCCTTAGTGTTTTGTATGTAATTCAGATCAGTGGTATGTGTTTTCTTCTAGTCGGAGATCTATTTTTTTGCATCAGAATTGTCAAATATTTAAATACTGTGAGGTGTTACAGCTACAGTATTAAGAAGTATCTAGGAATGAATTTTAAAAGCTGCCACAGTTTCAGATGTGTCTTAAAAATCGCTAGCTATTGTAACGGTGGCAAATCTGATACAGGAACATGGTCCATATCTTCTGCTGTACTATTGAAACTTTGTATAACAGTGTAATGACATGGTGATGCGAATATCCATGTGGTGATAATTTGGAAAGTAATTTATATTATAAATGTGTCTCTGTATGTGTAACTGACTTATGCTAGGAATTGAATTGATAGTTACAGTTTTTGCAACTGTCGCCTATGTCAGAAGGGTCAACCACAGGTGAAGAAGAACCCAATATTCCCTAGGTCTACTTAGAGTAACTTAAATTAAAGAATTAAAAAAAAAAAACAACCAAACACCTGTTCTTCTGAGGCTTTCATAAATATTCTGGAATTAGTTTTCTCTTTCAAAGTGTGACTTCTAAGGGCAGATGTGTACTGAGTTGCCCCTATGTAGATAAGCTATAAATAATAGTAATAATTTTAAAAAAGAATATTTTGCAGAGAGAACTCAAATATCACTAATTGAAATGCTTTAATTTTGCCTGGAAAAAAAGAGTAAGCTTAGGTCTGAAGCTTGTTTAGAAAAATATCTTTTGGAACTGTTGCCTTTTCTCACAAACCAAAGTAAAATCAGTGTCATTATGCAGTATTAAATCAGAGTGATACTGTGCTTTCCTTTTGTATGACGTGCACTTCTAGCAGTTATGAAAATGAACACTGCTGTTAGGACATAAGTATGTTATCTCTTCCTTCTCTCAGCCATAGCTTTTGTCTCTTACTTGCTTTTTCGGAAAACATGCAGTGAAGACAATGAGATACCAGTGTTATACAGGGTTAATTTCCTAATGGTTGTGGGGAATGCAGAAGCAATATTCAAAGGCACAGCTGAGAAGCTATTAATTTATCCAATTTGTTAATATTTGGAATAGGGGATGAAGCAGGAATAGTAGAGAGAAATGCTTGGAAATGAAGGAAGAAGGATGGGTCTTTAGTTAGAAAACAGCTCAGAGCAGACTGTTTCCTCTAGAGCTACCCTAGGTCTTTGGCAGAGAGTTTTTCCTGTCTACAAAATTAAAATGCTTTGCCCATCTTGTCATTATTCATTATAATTTTTGCCTGTTTTGGGGACTACTATGTGGTAGATGATCACTGCTTAGTGCAGTGAGCTCTCTTGCCTTAAGCACACATACGCAAGTATAGAGGACTTGAACAAACTGCATTCCCTGGGATTCTGCCTGTTTTGTGTGGTTGAGAAATACTTAACATGTACTGAAACAGGCATGTATTATTATCCTTCTACAGTCAGTATTTGTGACATGCTTTTTCAACTTGGCATACCCTGCAAAACTGGGAGGCTTTGCATTTCTTTAGAAAAGAAGATTAATGCTAGTTAGGAGGATGATATTAATTTGAAATGAGAAGAATAATTTTAGCTGCTAGGTGAAAAAGCAAAGATGACATCATCCTTGGGTAAAGAAACTAAATGGGACTAGTTGCAAGGACTATTTTTATTTTTTTGATAACTGTAAGCACTATAGGAGGCTGAACTCTATTTTCAGATCTGTACATGAGGCTTCCACTAATTTGTCAAAAAGAAGAAACTTGCTCTGAATGTTTAAAGCTTGTGTAAACTTATTCCCAGTGCTTCGTATTTACTGATTTCTGGAGAGAGAACAGGTTCAGGTGTCCTGGAAAATGCAGAAGGATTTTTTTTTTTGTTTAAAGAAATGTTCAAGTATTCTTAATATTGAAATTTTTACTGACTAGTTGCAAATATTTCTGGAAGCACTGTTACATCAGAAGTGCTTAAAGAAAACATTTGAGGGATAGAATTTGAAGGGTGGAGTAACTTAAGAAATCCATGGGTTTTTGTTTTTCTGGGTCATACTCCTCTTGTTTTGAGGCAAGATAGCTGTAAAGCCTCAATTCCAAATAAACTCTGGGTGGGTGAATGAACAAGGGTTACATTTAATTATGTTGGAAGCTGTTGTTCAGGGGAGGGGCTGAAGAAATCTTTTGTTAGAAAACTGTCTGTGTCAGTGCAGATTAATAACAAGTTTTAAAATTCAGTTTCTATAAACATCTGAATTTCACTTTCAGAAATTGCTTCTTGTCTATTTCTGCAAATAATTATTAATTCAAGTGAATGCAAAAGCATGAGCAAAGCTGAAGCAAGTCTGCTCTGAAATGTCTGGTATTCCTTGTGGGAACATTTTTTCCAATCTGGCAATTTGTGTAGTCAGTCCATAGTTAATGCAAAAGCAATGATTTTACATTAAAAGTATTCTGAATCTGTGTAGGAAGGTATCATTTATGGGGACAAACACCACCACCACCCCCCCAAAGTTGTAAGCTCTGTCTTTTTTTTTTCTTTTTTAAGAGCTATAAACTCGGTGGAATACAGATGGCTTTGTACAGGAAACATATTGATAAGAACTTAAAATACAAGGAGAAAAACAGGTGAGGCAAGCTGGCTCTTTAAGCCCTTCCATACCAGAACAAAATTAAATTGCTAATTCTGTTTGAGGAAGAAAGCTGGTATTAAGTTTGCTGGATTATTCAACATCTGTTTAGTATATATCTGTTTAGTATATATCAACATCTGTTTAGTATATATCTCATCACTTAGCTGGATGTTATGCTATGGGTGTCTAGGAGAAGAATGTGATTGAAGTTTAAAAGTTAAAATATTGCGGTGTGTTGAAGCAGACTTGTTCTCATTGTAGTTCTACTTACATTTTATCTTGCCAGCTTAGAGGCTGAGCAGGAGATGTGTCTGAGTCCTGATTTTCATGTAGCCTATTAAGTCTCTTCAGCCCTTCAACTGTCTCTAATGTGAATACCTGTATTTTTTAAGAATATTTGTGTCCACTTTGGTTTTGATCAACAATTTCTCAGTAAATGGAAAACTCACAGAATGGGTGAGAATTGTACTGTTTTATTAATTTCTAGTGTATACTGAGAGAACAAATTGTACTCTGTATTCCCTGTTTTGCATATATGCTTGGAATGATTTCCTTTCTTCCAAAAACTAAGGTGCCTCTTTAAAACAAGAGGTGTTCAGCTCTTTGACAAAGTGTATTCCAGAAACCCTGGGCGTACTATAATGATGAAATAGTGACTGCTTTGCATAATTCATCTGGACTTGTGTTATTTCTGCTCTGTCTCATAGAGGTTGGAGAATTTCCTTAATTTTGTATCAGAAGAAAGGGGAAAACCGTGTTTGAAATACAGAATCTTTGCAACTAATAAATGAATCAGCTATGGAGAACTGAAAGAATCTGTGTTGCTTCTGCTTCTCTTTGATATTCATTATGGAAGTATAGGACTAATTTATGTGTGAGAGGGGAAAATGAACAAGCTTTTGTTATCTCATAGTTGGTGTGAAACCAGGAAGTCTTGATACAGAGATCCTGGAAATTTACTTTATACATAATTTCCCATTGAATCCTCTGTATTTTGGCTACTGATCTTTTTATCTCTGTCGCAGCAGATTTTTTTTTAACATGCCTTGCCTTATTCAGCTCTTTTCATCTGTTAAGTAGTGTTTAAAAAGGAGAAAAAGCTCCTTTAGCACTTGAAAAATGTGATAATTTGATTATGATGCTTATTTAGATTAACTTCCCTCTATACTAGTCCTGATATTTAACACTAAGATAACTGCTTCATCATTCTCCGTTATGTTCTCATTGATGAAGAATCCCTTAAATAACTATAAGTTAAGCAGTTACACACAATTTTTGTATTCCATGGGGGAAAAATAAGATGGACCTTTTACCTTCTTTGTGTTACTTTGTGGTGTTTATAAATGACTTTTTTTGGTGATCAGTCAGATCTATGTGGTTGAATGCACTAGCTAGAAGCAGGATGTTAACCTGTTTGAATGTGGTATTACTTATAGTGACAATGCTGGTTATGGTGGTTAGTGGTTGTTTTTTTTTCCTGTTACATACAACAATTATTCCTTAATGGTACCAATTCCAGCTTTGGTCGGCCAGGAGTTGAATGCTACTGTCAACATGACAGTGGAGCTGCAGTAATCCAGCTTCAGTTCCTGATTAACGAGGTTAGTAAAAGGATGTATGTATTCCATAATTCAGAGAAGATACGGAGTGTATTTTTTTTCAATTTCTCATTAAGCAAGCATCAAAATCAGCTAGCCCAAGTGACTCTTAGCATGAATGGTGCACAGTGATAACAATTATAAATAAATTAACTTTTTTAATTTTAGAAAATGCTTGACTAACTGCTGAATGTATCTTTGTCTCTAGAGTACTCCTTTGCTATAAGCAAGAACTTTTTTCCTTGGAATATTTATTCATGTCATTGAATATTAAGTTATCTCCTGAAGTAGTAAAGTACATTTTCAATAGTACTAACAGTTTCAGTAGGTACTTAATTTTATTTTGATGGAGTTACTAGTTTAGATGTGAGTGGGGAAGAATGATCTCTAATCTGATCCCTCAGTAACTTCAGGTGGTTTTTTTTTTTTCTAGGGGTGTATCAGCTGAGATCTGACAGCAGTGCTGTTCTTGAGCTAGCTGGGCCAGATATGTAGAGGGACTTCTAGCTCAGAGGAATGGTGAAGTCAAACTTCACTAGTTTTGTCAGCACATAGATATTAGCAGTTGAGTTCATTGCTTAATTTCTCTACAGAGGTGGGCATGAGGGAACTAACAGGCCCACACTGGAAAAAGCTGCTTCTTCCCCATTACCCCTCAGTATAGCACTGAACCAAATGTGGGCGAGCTGAATGACATCACTTAACTCATTATTACTACTTAGAACTTATCTGCGCTATGGTGTTGATGCGCATGCTTATAAATATTTTTTTCATCCTGGTAGCAAATATGTAATATATTGCCATTATAATGACGATACGCTGTTACTAGGGTTATGAAAAAAAGTTGACTAAAACTTTTTCTTTCTTATAGGGAGCTCTTGTGAGTGCCTTGGCTGATGATACCTTACACCTCTGGAACTTGCGTCAGAAGAGACCTGCTATACTTCATTCACTCAAATTTAACCGAGAACGGTAGGGATTGGATTATTATTGCTTTGCCCCTTACCATCACACTATGTGCTATTGTAAGATCAGATTTATTAATGTAGTCCAATTCATAACTTTTTAAATAACTAAAACTGGATTTACATTGGATTTGAGTTGCAGGCTGTTAGGGCCCAAAGTCCTTGTAAGCAGACACACTAGTGACCTAAACTGAAATGACTTTTCTATCGCTTTGCATATTGCATTGCTGAGCATCAATTTTCCCATCTTTAAAACATGGAGGGATAGAAGACCTTCAGTGTATGTCTCCAAAGGAATTTTGGAACAGAAGAAAGTGTATGTGTGTGCACCAATAAGACAACAGGAAAACTAGTTCAATTTTTTAATTGGAACTTTTTCTCCCCTTGATGACAAATCATAATTCTGCAGTGTTAGAGCCCCTGTATATATCAGAAGCAGAAAAAAAATACGCATTTTTAACTAACAATTTTGAGACTCAAGTGAGAGCATTGTAAGCAAGCTAGGGAGAAGTTTTAGAAATTTGATCTAAAAGTCAGTTGACTAAATTTCTGCAAAAAAGTGTCCTTTTTTTTAAATAACAAGTAATCCTTCCCCTTTAGGAAGTAGCCCTTCTTTTCCAGTATGGGTGAAGTCTCAACTGGAATGCTATGTCTACTTTAGAGCAGTGTGCTTCAGAAGTGGACTGCTTGGGGAGCTCAAAGGATACTATAAGAACACAGAATAATCTGTGACTTGTACCTCTGAATAGGGCAGGAAGTAATAAGCTTTAAGTAACAGGTAGCAATAGAAAGAGGTAAGTTAAATATTTATGTAAAATCTTCTAATGTAATGTCATACAAAGTGCTAAACAGACTGTTGGGTGTGTTATGGAGTAACCTTGTTGTTTTAAAGAGCAGGTTATAAACAAATTTGTCAGCAATAACATAAATGCAGATTACTGGTTTTTTGGGGGGTAGAATACTAAGTGATTCTAAGTTTCTTTTGAGGTTGTTTCTATGACTGCTGTGCATAAACTTTTTACCAGGGCATGTAAGGATAGGACAAGGGATAGTGGTTTTAAACTGAAAGAGGGTAGGTTTAGATTAGATAGAAGGAAGAAATTCTTCACTATGAGGGTGGTGAGGCACTGGAACAGGTTGCCCAGAGAAGTTGTGGATGCCCTATCCCTGGAAGTGTTCAAAGTCAGGTTGGATGGGGCTTTGAGCAACCTGAGGTAGTGAAAGATGTCCCTGCCCACAGCAGGTGGATTGGACTAAAAGGTCTTTAAAGGCCCTTTCAGTCACAAACCATTCTGTGATTCTAAACTGTTATGCAGAAAACAGAAAGCTCTGACAGTGCAGAATTCTCTGCCCCAAGGGAGTGATGGCGTTCCTTTTTGCAGCATAAAAGTCAAATGGAAAGAAATGCAATTTGCAACCTCTAGTTCAGCTAGGATTGTCCAACTATAGAATGCAGTGGTGTATCCAAACCAAATTTTCTCCCCCTTCTTTCTTAAATGACTTTTCTTTTACCTCAGCACCTATTTAAGTGTCAATATAAAATTCAGATTTGCAGCCTGAAACCACATTTGGACATTGGCTTCTAGCTAATGCTTTAAAGTAGATATCTGAGGTGGTGATTCTGATTGTGTGCAAATCTGTTGGAAGCTGGCTTAGAGTCTTAGGTATATGGATATCTTTGGTTAAAAAGAGTGGAAGTTTTAAACCATGCTTTTCTTTTAAATGTGGTGTTCTCACTAGCAAAACCAGTCACAGGGAGTTCAATGTGTGTACTCATACCAGAAAGAGGGGTGGAGGTGGAAAGGAGTCAAGGTCACTCATGTCACTTCAGCAGTTGTAGTTGTTATTAATTTTGGACAGAGTACTGATTTTTCCAGGAAAACCTGTGCTGTGCTGAAATAGGTAATGAGAGCACCATAGTTGCCAAGAGTGGTGAAGGTACAGTTTGAGACAAGGGCTTGTTCTTCTGGTAATTTTAATCTTAAAGTATCCATTATAATAGCATACAGAAGTAGCCAGAACACTTAAGATCCCAGAAACATACATTGTCATAGCCACTTATTAAGTCATGCTGGATGACTGATAACTGTTTTCAAATATTCTGTTTTCTTTTGACTAGTTTATAAAATAAAGCTTTATAAAATAAAGTGTAATCTCATTACTAGGGAATTATTTTGATTTTGAACTTTAGAGAATTGCACAAATTCACTGTTGAATAATTCTGAATAGGTGTTTTTAACATGAAGAGTTCTTAGTAATGAATTATACCTAATAGGTTTGATATGTTATGTGAATTTGAAGTAATTGGGCTTTGCTTAGGTCAGTTGCATTAACTACTAAGTTTATTGAGAAAAGCATTCATGAATAAAACTTGGTCTTCTCAATTTACAAGTGCTAAGTTGTTAGATACCTAATTAATAAAACCTTTTAAACGATTTATGTTGTGCAATTAAGAGTTGCGCATAAGGATAACTAACTTCTCAAACAGGAATTATTTAAATATTAAATACTACAACAAAGCCTTGTAGCAATATCTTCTCTAATGATAGTTTAATTTGCCAGCTTGCGTAGGGAACTTCAATATCTTGGAAACCGGTTTGGGTAAAAAATAAGTTAAACTGGAAAAAAAGTCCTTGGAGGGGAACCAAAGCCAAATCTTACTATGTGACTGAAGCAACTATTCCAGTTATTCATTATTTGCTCTAGGACTCTGTAGATGCTAAGGTTTAAAATTATATACCTGATTGGGATTACCTGCAAGTGTGTTGACACTGCGGAAAAGCGGTATTTGTGTCCTCTTTAATATGAGTTGAGCTCAACATGTCACAGGCCAATTTGTATTCAGGTTTTGTTTCCAAATCAGAGTTTAACATGTAAGGGTTAAATGTGGACTAGAAGGTTGGTTGTAGCACAGAGAACTGTAGCGGTTAGCTACCCAGATTAAAGGACATTCTGGTCTTAAACTATTCTTGAACTATGTTTTAAAAAAAAATAAATTTGAAAAAATAAATAAGGCTATAACTTGTTAATGAATTCTGTATTCTCCTGGCACAGCCTTTTACCAGCTCTGGCAAATTCCCTGCTTTTAGCCATATGGAAGAATTACTGCCCAATAGTTAACAACACAATTTCTAGATTTCATATTTGTTTCTCCTATTGGTAATCTAGTTTGGCTAGCTTGTTTTCAGGCCTGTTTTGAACATCTTTCAAATACGGAATAAAAACTAGACACAGCTTGTGTATAAATGCTTGTGTCATGTGTTTAAGTATTTTGTATACTAACCTGAAAATTGGAATATTAAATTACCTGTAAATTAATTCAGAATGCAGTCTCTAGTATATGACTGGAAAGTGTTGTGAATTCTTGCTTTTCTAGTCATGAATTTTAAGAATAGAGTGGTGAGAAAGAGTTGCTTTTTCTTTTAAAATAATTCTATGCCCATTACAGACTTTGTTCTGATCTGTGGAAAGCATCTTCATTGGGTAACTTGCAGCTTCTTAGATTTGAACAAAACTTTTCTTTAAAAGTAGTGGCCAAGAGTCTTTAAAGATGCTGCTTTCTGTTAATCTTTAAATAAGGATCTGTAGATAAGAAACTGGCCATTTAAGAGATTGATAGCTCTTGACTGCCTTTTGTATCAGTGATTAGTAATTTGAAGCAAGTCTTCTGAACTGGCGATTGATGAAGTTTTTCATGTATAACAAATCTGTTATTTGAAATTACTGACGGATGTCAGAAGCACAGTGCAAAACTAGCTTGTTTTGCAAGTTTTCTAGCCTTTTGTTCCTGTTGCGTTTGTGTGGGTTTTGCAGCTGCTTCATGTTCTAGTTACCAAATAAAAGTTAGAAGATATTAAACCAATGTCATACTAAGCTTGGCCACTGTTCCTTGACTGTGGGAAGCAGTGTTTAGGGACCAGGAAAAAAATGCATGATGTTTACATGGGAGGGGTTGCTTGCATGGCTTGTCATGCAAGTTAAAAGTGTAGTACCTCTTTGCAGAACGCACAATTTGGTGTGTGAACGTATTTAGTATCCTAGGTTTTGTACTTCTCTAAGACTCCTTCAGTGAATCACAATGTAGTTTCTCTGTCATCTACATACCTGTATAAATATCCTACACATAATAAAATTGTTGTGTGCTCACATGTAATGCAAGCCTCATGTCAAATGTGTTTTGACTTAATAGCAAATGTTAATGTTAGGCTAGATTAACTCTGAAATAAGCATAGTTAACACTTCTTATTGAAAGCATGTTGTGAGATGGATGTCCAATCTGGCTTTAGTTTCCTTGCCATGCAAGAACTATTAATCTTTGTGCTGATCTAAGGTCGGGTGTGAAAGGTCAAACACACATCACTAATGAGCCAGGGACTTTCACAGAACCAATTTAAGAGGGTCAAGTGACAGACTAACTTGATTAAAAAAAAAAAAGAAAAAGAAAAAAGTGGTGTGGGATGACTAATTTGTCTCCTTTGCTGCAAACCAAACCCAAACCAATCAGCTTTACATACAAGTATGAAAAAATTTGTTTAGTTATCCAAGACTTGCACCCTTGCACTGAGCTAAGATTCCCTGTTCTAATGCCAAAAGAACTAGTTTACTTGCTTTGTGACTTAGCATAAAGACAAGAACCAGAATCATAGCATCAAAATAGAACTGAGTGTTTAGTGTGTATGTGTGCTTTGCATATCGATCACTGAATGGATTGATAGCAGTTTAATATGTCAAATTTTGTGCTGTGGTATTTAAATAGTTTTCCTCAGTGTGAAACTGCACAATTCAAAGGTACAAAATTATGCTTTAAATGTTGCTGGTTTTGTACCCTGCTCTAAATAGCAACTGTAGCATTGTGTTTAAAACACAGACTCTGTCTATAGTGAGTGAAAAATCCCACTTGTATTTACTACTTATTAATAAACAAGACTTTTAACTTTTATTATGACACATACCTTACCTTGTTAGATACTGTAACTTTGTACCCAGCCTGTGCATTAGCAGACATTG